ATTAGCTTCTGTGGGCTCCGTTCCTGTTCATCTACGACCTGCGGTAGGATTGCTGTGTTCCCTTCGCCTCATTTCCTGTGAGACTTCCGGTGCCTCGAGTGGGAAGAAATACAGCAGCACGATGGCCATCCTGAGGCGGCACCGGAGAGCACGAGACAACCGAGCGAGCAACGAAAGGAAACAAAACAGATTTCCGTATCCGGTCGTGTATGCGACTACTATGTGTGCGAGTGTGCACCTACTTTATTTTTGTAGCTTGATGCCGCTCAGGTTCCATTACCTACAACGTCCCCGCTCGGAAAACATTCTGCAGAGCAATTATACCGAGACCGTTTCGTTGAACCGAGCGGCTCTCATCCGAAAAGTTCCGCGATTGTTTATGCGACGGATCTTCCGTGACGGATAGGTCCATCGATTGTTCCGATCTGAATGTGACTTTGGCCAAGGTTAGGTCCCAGTAAGCCGAATTTTAGTAAGGAATTTTCGGCGTACTGGGTTTCGGCTACCTCAACTTTCGGCGTACAGGGTTTCGGGTAGACGAATTTCGGCGTCCTGGGTTTCGGCGTTCTGGGTTTCGGCTTTCTGGGTTTCGGCGTGAAAGTTTCGGCTTACTGGGTCTATACCTTGGCCAAGGCCACTCTACGACGTCGATTCCGAGCGAATCGGTCGAAAGATCTTTTACTCTGCGGAACTCGCTTCATAACCACCGGGGCTGATTACTCCGCGAGATCTGTGCGCTGAATAGGGAAGATTAATATTCGAGAAAGCTCTCAACTCGGAAGATTCCTCCATAGAGGCACGTCATACCCTACGAGGCATCGAGACTACGCTGACGAAAAAGTTTCGAGAGACTGGAGCGGGCTCTTACGTCAAAATTTAATTTCTTCTCTTGGAAGTTTCACCGGATGACTATCTTGTACGCGGTCGTGTGTCAGACATCTCAATCTCGGCCCTTCTCCTCGAAACACAGGTTCTCAAAAGAAGACACGATGACAAGGATTAGAGTTTAATCTGTGAACGCCCATGGATTGTCACAGAATTTTTTTACCCCACAGTGGAGACTATTCAAGGTGATTAGTTTCTCTCCAAGCGTAATCTCCGACTCGTCGGCGCGACTCCTCTCGCAACGACGTGCCGGAGATTAAGTTTTTTTTGTAGATATTCGTGCTAGCTTCCCGAGTCCGCACGGGGTACGGCTGACAATCGGAAACGTGCGTTGGCCGCCCGTCCGCCTCGGTCAATCTCGTTCACACCGAAAGTCTCAGCGAGAGACGTGTTCTTTCATAGAGGCAAATGAAAGCAATCGCGACCGATACCAGAGTCTCATCTCCCGGTGTCGTTGGAATTCCCGTGTTTTCCCATGAGTTTGTATTGTGCATATTCTGGCAATCCCCTCGAGTCATCCTCGTTCGAGAATCTGCTCGACGACCGTATGCCTGGGGCAGAACCGTGCCTTCTCGCGGGGAACCGTGTCGCGTTTCCCGACCTTGAATGCTCTCGAAGTTTCTCTCTCAACGATCATCCTCACCCCTCA